TGGCGCCGCGTAATGAGAGCTGGACGAGCCAAGGACTCATCGATTGATGACGTGAAGGTTATCAATGGTCTGGAAGGCGCGTGGGGCACGCGCATGAGCTCGGCGAAGATAGTGAACTGACTCGGCGAATGATGACTGGGATCGGCGATTCACGTATGGCAAAATCTGATTGGGAGATATGGAGTGAGTGCTGGATGTGATTGGATCACATCCAAAACTCCTCTCGCAAACATTCATCTTGTCGGGGCGTCGCAAGGAGAAGCGCGAGGGCGGCTGCTGCAGAGGCACAAGGGACAAGAAGGGCGCACAGGAAGGTAGCTACGGACACGTAGGAAGGGTAGATTGTGTAGCTGCTAGCTATTTGCCTTCCACTAGTTACAGGTTTACAGCCGCACAAGACTCTCAAGCTACAAGACGCCGCCTCGATGTCGACGAAGAAGGCCGAAGTCCTCCTGGGAAGCGACAACTACATTCACTGGGAGTTCGCCATGCGCATGACGCTGGCGAGGAAGAGACTGCTGGCTCATGTGCAGACGGCGAAGCCGGAAGCAGAGATGACGGAGGCGTGGCTACTGAACGACATGAAGGCGCTCTGTGTACTTGTTCAGGGCGTATCGTTGGAGCACCAGACGAAGATTCGCTCGGCGACCTCGGTGATTCAAGCGTGAAATACTCTACAACCGGACCACGATGCACAACCGTGTGATGATGACTCGCCGATTCCATGAGTTCAAGACGAAAGAAGTCGATCAGCCAGCTCGGCGATCGATCCTTGCCAACAGCGAGTGCAGTATCAGCCATGACACCGGTGATCACTGAGTCTTCTGACTCATTCACTGGGCTTAATTCGCTGACCGCGAATACTGCACCATCGTCACTGTCGTCGACCTTGTTCGGGCAGTCCCGCTTCATGTGTCCGACCTGGTCACAACTAAAGCACTTGTCCCGAAACCCGCCATTCTTCTTCGCGCCGTTGCCCTTGCGGCCGTTGTCTCTGCCGCGTTTGACAAACTTGCCGTTCTTGCCCCTTTCACCATCCGAGGTGATTTTCAACGCGTGCATCGACATTTCCTTCGTTTCCAGTCGCTCTTACTTCTTAAACAACTTCTCCTTCACCTCGATCAGCGTGATGTCCTTAGAGTTTTTGATGATCGACGAGATCAACTCGAACTTGCTGGGTAGGCTGCTCAGCAATATAACCAACTAACGGGCATCGCCCAGTGGTTCGCCGAGCGATTGGAGACCCACGATGAGCTCGTCGAATTTTTCGAGGTTCTTTGCCATCGTCGCCCGGATGCGGGCAGAAGCGAGATGCGGACGAAGCCGTACCGATCGCTGATCGGGTGCCAGC